GGGGGGACTCTGAGGATTAGCAGCATTAACAAAAGCTAACAGGCACGCAGGACTTTGTGCTGGCACTGTGCCAAGAGCTTCGTATTAACTCCTCCATTCTTTGCTGCAATCTGATCCTCTGAGGAGGGCACAATTTTCATTGATGAGCAAACTGAGGCATGAGCGGGGAAGTGGGAGACCTCCAAGTCGCAAGAGCTGGGAGCAAAGTTCTCAAAGACTTGGAAGGGCATGTGATTGGGAGAGCGGCCGGGGTGGCGGGGCCTCACCTCAGTTCCTTTGATGTGGTTAGACCTCGAAGGAGGTGCCCTGAGCGTGGTTTCCTGGGAGGCTCCCACCTGGAGCACCTGGAGGTCCTCAGAATCTCCGGCTTGTCAACAATGTCCAGAGAGACCTGGCCACCAAAAGGGCCCTCTGGAGACGTTCTGGATTAGTTACGAACTCCTGTCTCCCCCCACCTAACCCCCGAAGGATCTTTCCCAGGAAAAGAACTTGGTAGGTGGAAGCTTGACTTGTATTTAATTTGATGCATAATTATGTAAATAATATGCTTTATGTAAATGAAGCAAGGATAAAACTCATACCCGTTACAATGTCTGGGAGCAGTTCTCACCTCCTGTTTTGACCAAGTACAAGGTCACTGCCTTCCCAGGCTAGCGCCTAGAGCATGTTCCTAGTCTCTGTCCCTCTGTTCCTTAGCTGCCTTGACTTTCCCAACTGTCCCAATGGCCTGGCTCTAGCTAGCATGCCTCGTGCCTCAGCCTGTCTGAATTGGGTTTGTTGAGGAGATTAAGGACTAAACCTAGTTTAACTCAGACTGGCAACAACTCCTTACCGCGCCATACTCCTAAGCTTCAAACCAGCCTGAACAAATTCCTGTAAGCCGTGGTTAAAGGGCCACCCCCCATAAGAACATTTCTGTCGCACTTCTTGGCAGGTGTAGGAGGAAGAAATCTGGATTTGATTATTTATATTCATGTTTGGTTTTGCTTAATAGGATTTAGAATGTTCTAAGGGAAAAGAGCGCTGTAAGAGAGTGGCAGGTGACTGGCCAAGGGAGGGACCATGTTAAGGGACAAAGAGAGACGGCCCCTTCATGGTTTTTGACGGAATCTGAGGGATCTCGGTGGGGCAGGCAACACGCTGCAAGTTAAAACATTCCTACATCGAACTAAAAAGCTTCTACACAGCAATGGAAACCATCCACAAAATGAAAAGGTAACCTACTGAATGGCAGAAAATATTTGCAAATCATATATCTGATAAGAAGATATTATCCAAGATCTATAAAGAACTCATACAACTCAATAGCAAAAAACCAAACAACCCGATTAAAAAATGAGCAGAATGCTGAATAGTTATTTTTATAATTGTTTTTATTAAATTTTTTTTTAATGTTTATTTTTGAGAGAGACGGACAGAACACGAGTGGGGGAGGGGCAGAGAGACAGGAAGACACAGAATCCGAAGCAGGCTCCAGGCTCTGAGCTGCCAGCACAGAGCCTGATGTGGGGCTTGAACCCACAAACCATAAGATCGTGGCCTGAGCCAAAGTTGGATGCTTACCTGACTGAGCAACCTGAATACCTATCTTTTTAAATAAGGCATCCAGATGGCCAAGGGGCACAGGAAAAGACGCCCGATGTCACTCATCAGGGAAATGCAAATCAAAACCACAATGAGATATCCCCTCATACCTGTTAGAATGACTTTTATCAAAAAGACAGGAAATAACAAGTGTTGGTGAGGATATGGAGAAAAGGGAACCCTTGTGCACTATTGGTGAGAACGTAAATGGGTGAAGCCACTGTGGAAATCTGTATGGAGGTTCCCCCTAAATAAAAAAAAAAAAAAAAAAAAAAAAAAAAAAAAAAAAAAAATAGAAATACCATACCATCTAGTAACTCCACTTCTGGGTATTTATCTGAAGAAAATGAAAACTAACTCAAAAAGATATATGCACCTCTGTGTTCATGGAATCATTATTTACAGAAGCCAAGATATGGAAACAACCTAAATGTCCATCAAAGGCTGAATGGATTATGAAATTGTGGTACTTACGTACATACAATGGAACATCACTCAGCCATGAAAAAGAAGGCACCTGGCCATTTGTGACAACGTGGGTGGACCTCGAGGGAGTTACGCAAGTGAAACAGGTCAAGCAAAAAGGCAAATACTGTGTGATCTCTCTTATGTGTGGAATTTAAAAGCAAAAAGCCAAACTCATGGATACCGAGGACAGATTGGTGGTTGCCAGAGGTTGGGGGTGAGGGTTGGAAAAAGGGTGAACTGATGTGTTTTTTTTGTTTGTTTTTTTTTTTTTTTTAGTTTAAATAAATTGAATAATTTATAGAAAATAGATTCTATAACCAGGACTATGGGTACACAAGAAAAAAAAAAAGGAATTTGCATGGGGAAATTGGCAGTCTCTCCTTCTCAGGAGGTAACAGTAACAAGAAAGGTTCATAATAATATATATCGTTGTAGAGTAAGCACTGAAACCTTGCGTCAGGCACTTCACTGTTTCCCATCACCCCTATTGTATAGATATGAAGACTAGGGACCAGAGAGGTTATGCAATGTGCCTGAGGCCACACAGGAGGGGCTGAAATAGGGCTTAAGCCTGAGTCTGTCCTCAGGGCCCTGCTTTCAGCAGCTGCAGAAAGGCAGCTGGTAAGAGGCCAGAACAGATTGTAGTCAGCGGTTCTCAGCTTGGATGCACAGGAAAATCAGTGGGGAGCTTTTCAAACGGCGCTGGTGCCCAGGCCCCACCCTGGAGAGGCTGATTTAATTGAAATGAGCTTCAGCCTGGGTATCCGTAGGCTTTAAAGCTCCCCAGACGAATCTGACTGCGCACCAGGGCCAGGAACTCCGGCTGGACGGTGCAGACCCAGGGTTAAGACCTGAGGCGACTGAGACCGGGGCAAGACCCAGGGACAGGAGAGCCAGCAAGCATGGGAGAGGCGGGTGCCGGGAAAAGTGACTAGGATCATCGCTGCTTTAATCCTCATGCTAAGTGACTGCATTCTAGATAGACTTCGACAACTTTAAACACCATGCTTCCAAAGATAAAGCACAACACGAGAGGATCAGATCAAACTTCCTTCATGTCCTTGGAAGCTGAGGCCCAGAATCAACCTGACTGCCATCGGACACGAGTTCCACAGCCCTTGCTCTGTCTGGAGCCAGCTGAACCCAGACCTTGGAATTAACCCAGACCTGATTTTTAACAAAATTATTTATTTAAAAAATTACGGTAAAATCTACATAACAGAAAATGTACCATTTTAACCACCTGTGTGTGTACAGG